AAAAAAAATCGATTTGACCTTAAAATGATCTTGAAGGTCGAGGTCAAGTTCAATGTCGAGGTCACATGCGGACGTGAAATCTTCCTCTGTTTCCATTTCCGTGGTAAAAAATGAGGGGTTCCATTAAAAAAATCGACTTGATATTAAAATGACCTTGAAGATAGCGGTGAAGGTCAAGGTCAAGGTCGTATTCGGACGTAAAATCTACCGCTCTTTCCACTTCCGGGTTAAAAAATAAGGGGTTCCATTTGAAAAAATTGACTTGATATTGAAATGACCTTGAAGGTCATCGTCAAGGTCAAGATAAAAAAAAACCATCCGAGATATTCCTATCCGTTATTTAAAATGGGACACCCTGTATATAAATATATATATATATATATATATATATATGATTTTAATCAATTATAGGATATTATATTATGCATACTTTTCGTTTGAGTTTTTATGTTTTAAAATATTTCGTTATATTTGACTCTTATATGCCCTGTATACTCTCGATATTGTTTTTTTAATTAAGAGTCCTTCTTGTAAACACTTATTTTTGAGAAAATAAACATGTTTTATATTTGATCGTATGTTCCTTGTCGGGAAAGCCACTTTTGTGGCTCTGCACAAATCTCGAATTTTTGGGCCATGTGTATGTTATTTACATAGAAAAATTTTAAGAAAAAATCAGTTTAACGAAAAAATTCCGGCAGTCTAAAGGTTAATAACTTTCTAACAAAAGTAACAAGCACTTACTAACACCTATTAGAGGTCATTCATGACCTTGATAACATATGTCAAGATCAAGGTTATTGGAGCCAGATCCCATATTGTAAACATTTATCAAAATTTTTTTATGTTGAAAACTAAAGACTAAAAAATGGCAATGCAATAAATAAACAACTGTATATAGCATTTAATTCGAATATTTATTTTATTTTATTTTTTTTTACTATTGCCTAGATAACATTAATTATCACAGGAATGAATTTTCATATACAGGGTGAATAAAAAATTCTGGACAGGTGAAATATTTCGAAAATAAAGCAATTTTGGTGAAAAATGATTCAGACAAAAGTTGTAGAGTTTTAAAAGATCTATTTATACTGATCACGTCTGTTTGACCTTGGATGGTGTTGCCAAGGTTAGGTCAAAGTCAGATCGATTTTTTTAAATGGGATATCCTATTTTTTATTCCAGAATTTAATGGCTGATATCAAGAGTTTTTCAAAACACTACAATTAAGTTTCATTTTTGTTAAGTACTTTTCAAGTTATAAGGCTCGAAAGTTACAGTACCGCCGACATTAGCAATACCCAAGGTATTCAACCGATAATTAAAACCTCTTAAAAGTTGTTCAGGATCATTACCTAAATAACATTTGTCAAAATCAAAGCTATTGGAGGTTAGGCCTCTTATTTTCATTTTTGCACTAAAAATTCATTTTTATGTAAAAATGAAAATAAGAAGAGCAACCTTCATGGCAATCTTGACAAATGTTATCTGGATCATAAGAGATATTATAGATATTAGGGGAGAGTGGTCTAAATCGGACCGTGTTCCAAATAGGACCTTTTTAATTTAAATGAATACGGTTAAGCAGATTTGCGTGTTTTTTATAATGTAAAGTCCTTATAAGATACCGAACATGTGATAACAATTTGACAGATCTCTGTCATAACATTCATAAAATAGACGCAAATATGTATTTTCAACTACCGTGCGAAAATTTTTTTTTTAAATAAAATCCTTGTAAATCATTATTTAAAAGGTGTTAAAAATTTGAAAAGTAATTGATTTAAGATAATTAAAGAGTATAGAATTCAAAAATATCAAGCATTTTGTGATTACTTTTGCGGTTTATTGTAAAATTTGTTTCAAAATTCGAAAGGACCTGTGTCCAAATCGGACAGTACAGTGAATAACTTATAGGCCTGATTGTAGTACTGGTGATCGGCTGACCAGATCTGGTCCAAGCAATTAAATCAGTAAAATATCATAAGTCATCAGACTCAGATTAGTTGAGTTTTATTGATTTCAATTCTAATAACATAAACAGTCAGTAATTTCTTTTTCTGGAAAAAATTTTTACCTTTGTCAAATTGCTCGTTTTTACTCAATACTAAGAAACATAAATTCATTTAAAATATTTTAAAATTCTATCTAAAAATCCACAAAAATAGAAGTTTTTGATTCGAACCAGGGAATGGTCCGAATCGGACCGGAAAAAGCGTTTTTACATTTTCCATTATAGTTCAACACAGGTGAGAGATACGTCAAAATGGTTTCAAGCAAAAATGAAAGGAATTAAATGATCTTTCCAATAACACCTTCGATTTTACGATCGGACTTTATTTACGCCTTATAGAGAGCAAAAACTGCAAATAGATCCGATTTAGACCACTCTCCCCTATAAATCTAAGTTGGTTGAATATTTTGAGTAATGATAATGCCGACGGTACTGTAAATTTTAAACCTTATAACTTTAAGTACTTACGAAAAGTACTTAATGAAAATGAACTTTATTATAATGTTTTGAAAAGCTCTTGACATTAGCTATTAGATTCTGGAATAAAAAATAGGGTGTCCTATTTAAAAAAAATCGATTGACCTGACCTTGGTAATGCCACCCAAAATCAAATAGATGTAATTAGTAAATAGATATTTTTAAACCCTACAACTTTTGTCTGAATCATTTTTCCCAAAAAATACTTTGTTTTCGAGATATTTCAATGGTCCGGAACTCACCCTGTATGTGCTATACATATTTACAATAAATACAATTTTAAAATGAGTTATTTAATAATCGGCGGCATTACTAGCCAGATAATCGCGACGTCCGATATTGGATGCCTGCTTGTTTTGCACAGCCTCCAGTTTTGGACACTCTGTGATTCTGTGTCCGAGTCCACCACAATAACTGCATCCGCGTTCGTCTACGATAAAACAAGAAAGATATTTTTAGAATTACAAGAAATAGTGACATAAATTTATGAAGAAAAAAAATATCTTACCTCCCAGATTAAGATATTTTTCATTCTCAGAGCAAAGTTCCAGCAAGAATGGTGGCACCTTTTGCTTTGCTTCCATTAGTAAATGTTTAAGATCGAGCAGCACTGATTCATCATTTGCTTTATTAATGAAAGTCGTTGCTATACCAGTACGTCCAGAACGGCCGGTTCGTCCTATCCTGTGCACTAAAAATTACAAAATTACGTTAAACATCTCTTTTTTCGAAATCACTATTTTTCATTTATTACATATATATTACCGTAATTTTCTACATCGTCTGGCATGTCATAATTAATAACGTGTTGCACATCGGCAAAATCGAGACCCTTTGATGCAACGTCTGTCGCAACGAGTACGTCTTTTCGACCTGCGCGAAACGCTTCCACTGAACGTGATCTTTCTTCCTGATCTGAAAGAATATAATGAAATAAATGAATATATTTAATTTACATTAACAATTTTATAAAAATAAAAATTTTTTATATACTCCTTATATTAATACAATAATAATAATAACAAAGTCTAACTGGGCGTTAGGAGTCAGCGCCGGATATAATGTTGCGCAAAGCTAACCAATACCTATTCATAAATAAAAAATTCAATTTTGTACGTTTCGGCATACTATTTGAGCCATCCTCAGCAATAAAAAATTACCGCTTATCGCACTATAAAATCTGTCGAACTGCGTCTCGCACAATCGTAGTTCCAACCTCCAGGGCACCTATTATGGAAATGTTCGGAATTTATTCCGATCGAAATTATGCAATTATTCCCTAGATTTCTATTGTTTTCTGGAGAATACGAAATAATTCCGATCGGAATCCATTCCGATTATTGCCATAATAGGTACCCAGATATGTAATCACAGTGGAAATGTGGTGAGAAACAACCATCTTCAACATAGTCTAATGTTGTGCCAACCAGTTGCTTAGCTGAATGGAGTAGATAGTGGAACTCAAGCTGATAATAGCAACGAGATATTTTTGAAACAAATGGATATTAATTTGCTTAATTAATGTATGTTAGTCTGAAACTCACCCCATCTCCAACAACGATCGCAAGTGGATCCAAGCATCGTCAATCCATTACAATTTAAATATTACGATGTCAAAGTAAGATTGAAAAATAATTTAAGTAACATAAAAGAAAGTCATGTTCGTTCTGATGTTAGTCACATGTTACTCGTTAAATACAAAGAAAGATGTGTCGCGCGAACAAAGCATATCGGTCAATGATAAAAATAAACATATTATAACTTATTTAGAATTTCCATGTATCCATGATTTAAAGCCTCCAGTGTCTTTGCATGTTGAGACCATTGGACTGACGATTTATATAAAGCATATCCGACATTAATCGCTTATTATAATTTCTCTCCGAATCCAGAATTCTCACATTATCCCAATCGAAGTCATGACTGCAACTAACTCTATGATCTGTGATAACAGATCGAGTGGATGTAACTATGTATATGATTGCGATGTTCTGCTAATCTCGTATTTAGTTTTCTTCCCGTTTGTCCTACATAGGTAGCATCACAATCACAACATTGCACTGACTCCTAACGCCCAGTTAGACATTTTGTTATTATTATCATTGTAATTTACATTAATATTTTAATTGTGAAGAATTAATACAATTGATCAGTAATCTTGCAATAATTTTATATCAGTATATTAATGTTTAATAAAATGTTTATCTGAAATATTGTACCTATTCCTCCATGTATCGCAACAGCTTCCACTCCTTTTATAAGCAGATACTCATGGATGGCATCCACATCACGCTTCTTCTCTGCGAATATTAAGACTGGCGGTGCAGTTTTCTGAAGACATTCTAAGAGATAAACAATCTTAGCCTCTTGCTTGACATATTCCACCTCTTGTATTACGTTCATTGACGCGGCACCAGCCCGACCAACGTTTATAGTTACAGGTTTCACCAATGCTGAACGCGCAAAATTTTGAATTCTTTTCGGCATAGTAGCAGAGAATAAAAGCGTTTGCCTCTGACCCTATAACAGGCAACAGTTATTATTTTTATTATTTTAATAAACATTTCATCTTTCCACCTTGCATCAAATACATGAGAAAGTACAAAGTAGTAGTTACTTTGAAAAAAGAAAATATTGTTCGAACATCTTCTTCGAATCCCATATCTATCATGCGATCTGCCTCATCCATGCAAAGATAACGGCATACACTTAAAGTAACCATCTTTTTATGTAACATATCCATTAATCGTCCCGGTGTTGCTACCATTATATGTACACCTCTATGAATAATAATAATAAATAAGTTGCGACATATTAGAGATAAAAATATAAAATATATAATTAACAATAATAATCACTAACTTGTTGATTATAGCTAATGACTCTGAAACTGGCACACCTCCTATTGCCAAGCAACAGCGTATCTCTGGGCAATCCGTTTGTCTTAAACTATTAGTATAGTGCCGAATTATGTCATAGGTTTGCTTAGCCAATTCTCTTGATTTTAATGAATGGCATATCGATTTCTTGTTCCAGACAAAATTCAATGATAGGTAAAACAAACACCAACGTTTTACCACTACCAGTGGAAGCTATACCAATCATGTCGCGACCAGACAATCTACACGTATTTAACATTTATTTTATTCATTAAATGTATTATACAATTAATAATAAGCATAATTATAACATTAATTGAAGACTCACACTGTGGGTATTCCTTGAACTTGAATTGGAGTTGGCTTGATGATACCCTTCTGTTCCAATCCATATAAGATTCCTTTATGAAATTTCATTTCCTTAAAAGTTTTCAAGGGTGGCGGTACTTCGTCACCTTCCACAAGTATTCTGAGCTTTCTACGTACTCTCTCATGACGCATCTCACCGAAATTAAGTATCACTCTTGGCGGTTGCCAATTGGTCTTGATAGAATCCTTGTATTGAATACCCTTGGCTAATTCAGCCACACCCATTAGAGCTTTATTCTCAGCCACACTTTCCAGAATCTTCTCTTCCTCCTTCAACTGCTTCTCCATGGCACTCTCCTTCTTGGCTGTTAACAGAATTTTATGAATAAGTCTTAATTAAATTGTAATACTTTTTCATTTACTTATTAAAACTCTATTCATGGAGATTCTGAACCTTCAGCCAATTTCTTCAGTTCGGTATGTTGATCAAGAAGAGAGATATTTGATTTCCTTCCCCAAACCTGTCCATCATCATTGTCAGCATCATCTTTCTCATTCTCACTACTACTCTTTCCAATGCCATTAATAGCTTCTTCTTTTAATTGTCCGAGTTTACCCAATTTCATGAGCAATTGTTTTTTACGATGCTTAACAGGTACATATGGTTCGTAATCATCGTCAGTATCCAAAGGACTGTCTTCTTCCTCTTTCCTTCTATATCTCTGTACCTTCAAAACAATTTAATACACGGTATAAAGAAATATACGTTATACCATGAAATATTTAAAAAATATTTGAAGATGTAAAGGAGACATTATTATATTATAAAATGGACATGTTATAAAATTTAAAATATTCATAAACAAACATCTCTAGATTAACCTTTATTGGAGATTCGTTGTTATCCCGATTATCCCAATTCATTGTAGAAATATTCTTGCTACAATGGATTTATTGGAAGAAGATTATACTGCGATATATTAGAGCATTAATTACTCGTATTTTATTATTATTCTATGTAATTATAAAGTATTACACTAAAAAGTGCTACACACAAAGCACTGAAGAAAGAAACACAAACAAAGTTGGTCATTACATAAGCTGCGTTCGGAAACGTCGCTTGGATGCCTCCGAATTCCGATGCCCCGAGGCCTGATCAATCATGAAACTTTACCCCTAGGCTGCGTTCAGAAACTTCACCTTGCGGGTGATTGCTAGGAGTTTGCGTGAGTGAAATGGTAGGGATAAGGTAGAGTCCTAGATTTATCAGAGAGGCGCAACCGGTTTAAGTCAGTATGACAAAGGTGCTAAAGAGAGTACTAAACATGTCCGACATACTATGAAACTGCCTTTAAACTATGTCAAACAAGATAAGACGTGTAGAATAATGTGAGATAGAATAAGATAAAATGAAATGGAAATATGTCACTAGTACTATAAATGGCTGCCAAGTCACGCAATTGGTTAGATTGCAACAGCGAATCAGAATGCATAACACCGGTTGCGCCTCTCTGATAAATCTAGTAGCGTTTTCGATTGGGTAAAAGTTAGTGCGCACCAGTGCGCACTCAGTTCACACCAACACTGGACGAGTTCCATGGGTTGCACTGAATAGTGCAAGTTCAAAAGAATACGCCAAGATTTTCAGTGCTAAAGCTGAA